TTTTTTTCACTTCCGTGAGATTCTAAAATTTGAATCCTTAGTTAAGCTGTTTCTTCCTCTCTGTATCTCCTTTCTCATCCATGTAGCAAACTTCAGCTTAGCTTTCAAGTTTTCATTTCAATATCGCCTCCTTAGATAGACATCCCCTCATCCTTCAGGCAATTTCTTCTGCCTGTAGGTCTCCACAGCTTGTTCAGATGACTGTAATTCTTACCACGCATCTGCAATCAACATGTCTGAAATCATTGGTTTTATTGACCCTCCTCCTTCAGATCTTGAGGCAAATTGGGCTCTTCATTTTTGTATTCAGGACTTAGCAGAAATCCTGACACTTTATAGATTTTTGTAAAGTGAACAAGTAAATAAATGAATAGCAGGAAACGGAAAGAACAAGGGAACCCGTTTAAATCCAGCCAGGTTTACACTTACTTCAGTAAAGAATTTATAGAGCTTCTGTAATTTCAAATCTGCACCATCAAGCAGCTTGCATTCCCAACAAACTAAACCAGCCGGTGGGAGTCACAGGGCAAACCTCAACATTGTATTTAAATTGAGCTATACCTTGCATCTGGTATGACAGGAGAGAGGGGGATCTTAGGACAGCTAAAAGATTAAGGATAGGAAATTAAGGATAAAATCATAGGATTTCAGGCAGAAAAAAGCTCATGTTCTGCGTGTTTCTGGTCAGTTAGATTTTAAACATTCTGAGTCATTGTTTCCTTTAACGTATTAGTTTTTTTGTTACATTGCTATTCTGATATCTGGATAGAGAAACAGTGGCAACAACATGTAAAATTAATCTATCCAGCTGCTAATAAAAGAGGAAGGCAGAAAAGGAAAGTACAATGTGACTGAATAAAATATTAAAGATTTCTACTAATGTGAACCTTCAGCGTGCTAGAACAGTCTGGTGGTACAAATTAGAAATGAATTCATAGAAATTGTTATATAAAATATCTAATATTATAATTTGAGGATGAAACATTGGGGCATCACATTTTTACTGAGGTACTTAATGTCATAAATACATGTTCACTTTCACAAAGAAAAACCTATTGTTTCTTCTATCTCTCTGTCTCCGTCTCTGTCTCTGTCTCTGTCTCTCTCTCTCTCTCTCTCTCTCTCTCTCTCTCTCTCTCTCTCGGGACTTGTGGGAAACTATTGAAGTTGTTTAAAGAACAACTTCCCAGTTGATGTTTAGAAACCTGAGTTAGTAAACTAGTGTTCATTAGGATACGATCCTGGTCTAATCTTATCAGAGTCATCTGGATTCTGAAGGAAAAGATGATTCCCACGTCCTGCTTGGAGACTATTGATTAGAACCTTTGCACAGAAGGGTCAAGAATCTTGACTTTAAATATATTCCTTCAGATGATTCTCAGCATACCAGTATTTGAAATCTATAATTAATCAGTTTCAGATTTAGAATAAATAAATATTGATGACTGCTAACCAATATCTTCATTAATTAGGATGCTCAGAGAATTGGGAAGTTTTCATGAATTTAGTTTTTTTTAGAAAATTCATCCTTGACTGAATGAGGAAAACTTCCATCATCAGAACCTAATCACAAATTCTGGTGTTTTCAAGAAAGTGCTGTTAAAAACTCATCATGGTTTATTTGCACACAGGACTCACGAACATATTGGGAAAGATGATCCTAAAAGACAAGTTGAAAATTTCACTCTTCTGCAGAGCACAGAATAAGCCAGTGCCAGGAGGGATAACAACCAGGCAGAGGGAGATAATAAAACTAGCAAAGAAAAACTGCTAAACCAGTAAAACTTACAGAAAACTTAGACTTCTGTTTCACTTCACAGATCAAACATGGAGAGGCTGAGAGATGATTTCCAATGTTGCAATGGACAGGACATTAGGGAAAAAGTGGCCACCTCTGCTCAGTCTCCAGGAGGGAAGCAGGAGAGGAGACACTTCAGCCCTGAGACACTCCAAGGAAGGTTCACTGTGACAGGAGCTTGAGGGGAAGGGCACAGTGAGCCTATGCAAGGCTGAAGAGGAATCATTTTTCCTATCACATATGACACAAATGCTGGGACGTTTTGAAATCATCTGAGATTTGGTGTACTGTGCCTAGTTTTCTTACAGATTGCAACTAGAGACAAAATCCTTTACCATTGTTTCATGAAATTCATAGCGCTTAAGGAATTAAGGATTGTTTGTGGGTTTTTGTTGGAGGTTAAATGATTCTATAATGTCATATTCCTGCCATAGGAATTGTGTTAAAGAAGCAGCATTTAGATGGGATATCTGAAGCCTATTTCCAGTGCTGGGTTCATTCTCCACTGTGTGACTTTGAGCAGGCTTTGATTTCTTCTACCATCTACTGCCTGGGGTTCTGCAGTGCTTCAATTTAATAATAAACTGGAAAGTGCTGTATAAATGCAAGGTGGGCTGATTGTAATTGAATTTGCTGTTGGTTGAGGAGTCATGGTGATTAGCAATCTGTTCTCTAGAGGAGTTGTCGCAGGAGTTGTGCTGAGGAGCCTGTAGATTTTTAGAAATTTAAAGTGCGGTATTCTGGCTCTGGATAATCTGAGAGGAAGAGAGGACATTTACAGAAGTATTTGAAATTCTTTTGATGATTCTTAGGAAATCACCAGAGGGTAAAGGGTTGGTGGTGAGTGGACAGAGTCCTGGCAAATTGAGTCTTCCCCTGATCCTAATAAACATTTGTGCTGTTGGAAGAAGTCCAGCAGAGGCTTCTAAAAACCACTTAATTCTCTATGTTTCCTTTTCCCTATTTTATTTTTAAAGTGCAGAGCTGGACTTCCTAGTGAAAATATACCCTTTTAAAGCCACAGACTTCTTTATTCAGTGATAGTTTTACCTGGAAGTGTGAATATGAAGAACAGAAAAAACCAACACTGCTTTGATTTCTGCTCAGCAGTTCTCCCTCAGAATTTCAAAAACCACTGGCCATGATGCTTGATAACATCCCTGCTAACACTGGAATTCTATTAAAGATAAAAATGTTTACATAAATGACTGCTTACTGACTGCTTTTGGGAGGCGAGAATTCACTAGGCAGAATAGCTGGATTTTTATCTGCTTGCTTACCTTCTTCCAGACCATCTCCTGACCTGTTCTGTTTTCCTGATGCTCTTGCCAAATGACCTCTATCTAGATTTTGTTAAAGGATGCACTGGCAGGATATTGGAGAACAGGCAAGAAAAAAAGTAAACTGGTACATTTAAATGCTTATATCTCTGCTTTGGCTGATAGCTCATTTTACTCATTCCCTGGTGTAGTTTGTCTCAGGGAAATTTTTTTCTTCCACCTTAGGACAATTATACCCCAAAATATCTCGTGTCTACCAGATACATTGTTTTTTCACTTTTACTTTTCATACAGAGACTCAAATGGTATATAGAGTGAGCTGGATCACCTTGCTAATTGAATTCCATGATAAAGAAACTGAAAATAACTTAAAAGCAAGACATTATATATCTTTGACTATTATCTACACTGTAAATGATCCAGAAATGGGTAGTCTGACAATAATTCTTACCAGAGGATTGGAGTCATATTAACTGGTGCCACTTCATGAGAAGTGAAACATATATATACACGCAAAGAATTGTAAACCAATATCCTTAGAAGTTTTATTCATAATATTCCCACATATAAACAGTGAAAGATCTTCAAGGGGTGAATGGATGGACAAAAGTATAGATCCACGTAACAGAGTACTAATGAGTAATAAAAAAGAAAAAAACCTGTGGATATACCCTACAACATTGATAATCTCCAAAAATATTATGCTAGGTTAAGGGTGCCAGACATGATATCATATACTATATGGTTTCACTTATTTGAAACATCTTCAATGCCAAAAGTGTAGATATGCAAAGATACACAGTGTCTAGAGCAGTGGTTGCCTGGAGTGAGGGAAGAGAAGAGTAGGGGAATGAGAAATAATCCAATAAATGAGCATAAAGAACTTTATCAGTGTGACAGAAATATTCTAAAATTCATTTGCAGTGAATGCTGCCTAACTTGGATAATGTACTAAGAAATCACTGACTTGTAACACTTGATGTGAATGAATTATATAACACATAAAATATACCCCAGCAAAGTCATTTTTAAAATGAAGGGGAATAATCAGCAATGCTGTTATTAATTGAGGTGTTTTTTAGAAACCTGACAGTTGTCACTTTGAGCTATGGTATCCACATATCTACAGTATGAAGTTTTCATAGGCTTTTATTTTGCTTTTTTTTTTTTTTTTTCTTCAGTACTGGGATCGAACTCATGACCTTGCGCTTGCAAGGCAAGCACTTGCACCACTGAGCTAAATCCTCAGCCCCTTCAAGGACTTTTATGACAAAAGTATTGAGAGAGTTGCCAAGGTCTAAACAGGCTATTATACTCTGGTACTGTAAAGCACTTACCTCTGTCAAAAAAGTGGATACTGAAGAAGATACACAAATTGAATATGATATGGTGTCTGTCATCTGAGAAAGGCAAAGTATTAACTAAGAGAAAAATAAAGGGTAGAAGAAGAAAAGGGGGTGGATCTCTTACAGATGGGAAGAGATCCAAGATATCAAGGGCAAAGGGTGAGGTGGATGGGATGGGGAGGTAGGCAGAGTGAAGATATGCTAGGTATGAGGTCCTAGTAAGCTCAATGAATGTGGACGTGGTACGCTATAAATGTGAACTAAGATTAATAATATCAGCAAGAATGAAAAGGGGGAAAGGATACTAGAGGAGGAGGAAGAGAGAGGGAGGGAAAAAATTAGAAGATCAAGCTGTATTATGTACATTTACCCACTCCCCGAGATGACTGTAAAATGCATGTGCTGCAAACATACACTAACAACAGTTTTCTAAAAGACAATATGGTCTGATGCTGTTCAGGATCTTAGAAATGTGTCTTTAAAAATTAATTTTCTTGGAGGCTTAGGACTCTAAACTTTGACTATTATCTACACTGTAAATGATCCAGAAACGGGTAGGCTGACAATAATTCTTACCAGAGGATTGATATTAACTGGTGCCAGATAGTCTGCAGCAGAGGTCTGGAAGAGAATGCTTGCTTTTGTTCTTGGCACCCTGTAGTGGGGAGACAGGTGATAAACAAATGCTTTTAGAAATAATTTCTGACCGATGTGGGAAGAGGTTTAATAATAAAGCTCTGAAGAACAAGAGGCCCTGTTTATCTTGCTGTGCTGTGGCAATAAGGTGATTGCTGTGAAAGGCTGCTGCTCATAACAATGCTCAATGACGCACATAATAATCTATTGACTTTTCCTACACTGGGTTTGTCATTACCTCCAGTTTAAAGCCCCCTTTCCTGATTGCAGTATTCACAGATCTGCCATCAACAGCCCATTGAGTAGCAGACCATGATCTTTGAAATGGCAGAGCTTGGTATTTAGTTGCTGAATTTTCTTATTCTTTTATGTTTTCTGTCTGGGAAGGACAAGTAATAGATGTCCATTTTTATACACCAAAACTTGTATCTCAGCATAGATAGATTACTCCTTCAGCTATAACTCATTAATTGTGGTACCTCAGGAAAATTAGCAAAGCTTAAAATTTCCATTTGTACACCTGAGAATGCTTTCAGTGCCCATTTCCTGCACAGCAATGTTGTGGAGAGAAAAGGCAGTAATGCAATCACTTTCTAAAATTATTACTGGTGGAGAGATTCTAAGACATTTTGATTTTAGGCTTAAATCAAGCTGCATTTCAGAAATTTTAGAGAAAAGAAGAAGCAAAAACAAAACAAAACTACAAATTTAACATGAAACAATTTTAACTGCTGCATCACTTTCAGACTCTGAAAGCTCTCTACATGGTGCTTTATCCTCTGGGATCAATGTGGCTTGTTGGAGTGAAGGAGGAACATGGGTAGACCCCTTGGTAATCGAATCTTAAAACAATAGATGACACTACATCTTGCTCCAGCCACTGTTACTCCCACTACCAAGACGGTGTCCATCTACATCTTAAATCCTGGCCTCTGTACTCATCTCCACTGCCTCTCATCCGCCCTGTCACGTCCAGTATTCTTTTCATCTCCCCTTAATAGATGCCTAAATGCCTGACGTGTGACGGCAATGCCTGTTCCCATGGTGCTGCTGCTTCTAAGAAAGCTCGAAACAGACAAAGAACAAGGCAGAAACAGCCTTCTCACTGGGCATGAAAATAAGTTTCCCTGGTGAGGGAATTAGTCCACATCTCCGGCCTCTAAAATCCCCTTTTTCTGTCTCTGGTTTTCTTTACTGTGCACCCCAGAAATTGCTCCCCCTCAAGACACTATATATAATAGAGAAAATACTGACTTTATAATCCAATTTTGATAAATGTAACCAAAGTGGAAAGAATGAGCCACACAAGGACTTGGCGTCCTGATTAAGATGCTGAGATTTCACCTCCCATTATATATTTATACTCTTGGGAGAATATCATCCATCTAAGTTTTAGTTTAGAATATTTGCAAAAAACCAATCATTTTCTGTGTGTCAGTTTGTGCTGATATATCACATGCCTGCCTGATTTGTTGGTTTCAGTGTATTTTTATACAATGCATGTGTGTGTGTAATGCATGTTATACACTATGGTGCACCACTATGGTGGGCACTGCCTTCAAGGAGCTCACAGTTTAGAAAATCAAGCATAGGAATAACTATCTATGTGTCATTATGCTAAATTACTTAGGAAATACAATAAGAACACTGAGAAGGTAGCAAAGGAGTGTAGTAGAGAACGGTTTGAGAAAATGACAGAGGTGAAAGGATGCTTATTCTGGGTCCTGTGGATGAATTGAATTTCAGTTTCTTTCCTTGGATGAGTAGGGGAAGACCTTTTAAAGGAGAGCTAAACTGAATATGGACTTCTAGATACAGAGGCATGTGGTATGCCTGAGAAGGTGTAAACCTTAAGAGTATTTTACCAAGTGGGATCATCAGCATTACAATCACAGTGCCTCTGTTTTTAAGCAAGTCCTTACAGAGACACAGTTAAACTCCAGGATGCAAGGACTGTTGTAAATAACTCTGAGATGACTCTTTTGAGACTCATAAGACACTGGGAGATTTTGTTGTACATTAGGAGATTTTAATCAAGATCCTCGGTGTAATATGAGAAGATTCTCTTTGGAAATGCGGACAGTCTGGAAAACATTCTCCCATTTTCAAATTGACACTTTCAATTTACGGAAGAGAGATTACAGAAGTCTTAGCATATACTGTAAATTTACAAGTTACAGTGAGTTCTGTTTATTTGATAGAGCACATTCAGACCCCAACTGGTCTGTCTATCTGATCATATATAAGTATATAACCACAGCACAATTTAGAGGCATAGCTTTATTCTTTGTCCTTCCCTGTAATCTGAGAGTAAGCCAGGAATTTGATGAATCCCTTGTCTGAGGCACACTTACACCAGGATTCAATGTTTTAGATGGAGATGGACTCACTTCAAAAGAGAGGAGAAGCCAATGCACATTGATGCTTCCAGTTAGGAAGGTGATAATACCAATCAGAGTAGCACAGTAAAGCCAGACTATGTCAAAATAATTGATAACAACTCAGCATTATGCATTTCCCCATCCTGCCTGCAGAGAATTTTTCTCTGATTTCAGAGCTAAGTTTTGGTCCTAGCTTCCTGTAACCCCAATAATTGCAGAGACCAACACCTGCAATTAAGTTACTAGTTTATAAAACACAATTCACTTTCAGTGTGAATTAATGTTTTTTTAACAAAAAAATCTTTTCTATTCCTCTGAGGCAGTGTTTCTCATATAGTGGCCAGTGGAGTCCTGCATCAGATTTATCTAAACTTGTTAAAATGCAGAGACCTAAGTACTAGCACATGCCTTCTCAATTACACTTTCTGAGGTTAAAGTCCAAGCATCTGCATTCTTTACATGTTTATTCACCTGTTTCTTAAGCACATTAAAGCTGAAGACCTCTAAAGTCATTGGCTAAACAACTTCCTTGCTATTGAATTAAGATACCTGATCCAGGCATCCTTAATGGGGACAGATTGCTATAGGGAGCTCTGCTGTGCAAGTCAAACATAACTGGCATCTAACTAGATAGAGTTACACTCAGGCAAGCTGTGCAAAATATCTGAATTTTTGGTTAATGAATTACAAGAATCATCAGTAATTCTGACACTGTGGGAATGTGATGAAAACTCAGCTCTCTGCATCAATGGTGCTGAGCACATGGTGGTGACTGATAAATCCACCCTGGTTCATAAAGAGCAAGAGAAGCTTGTAACATAATAGAGCAGGAAGGACCTTCAAAGATGACCTGACCTTGTGTTTTATTTTACAAGTGAAGAACCAATAACTTGGAAAGTTCTAGTGATTAGGTCATACAACTTCTCAATGGCAGAGAACTGCGATGTCCTACGTTCAAGTCAAGGGTTATTTCTATGATGAGAATAGAATAAATCCTTACTAATTAAAAGGTGAATAATCTTTATCTTTAAAAAATATCTTCATTTCTTCACTGAAAGGCAAATAAAACTTACAAAATTTTTTTTTAAAAGTATAAGGCAAGATGCTGACTCATGGGCCAAAAGAAAGACTTAATGATTTATTGATCCTAGTAAATAGTCATACATCCATGTCTTCTGTCATTTATCAGGCTGAGGATGACAGGCAGGGAGAGCAGGAAATGATCTTGAGAGATGGGTGTGCCTTTCGGAATGACAGCACTGCAGAGCCCTTGCTGTTTGGCTGCTAAGGCCTCCATCATTTGTCTTCACCTGCTCCATCCAATCTTCTTTTTTCACTGTTCTCTATTTGACTGTCTACTCCTGCAAGGCTAGGCCTAGTTATTCTTTTCCTAGCTCCTCCTGCTGTGCTGAATTTAATAAGTGCCTTCCTGACCTCTGTGATTCTCCAAATGTCGTCTGTCATTCAGAGACCTAACTCACGAGTGTTGTCTTTTTATTCAAAACATTTTTCTTGGATCCCATTCCTGATAGTGAACTCATGCTATACTCAGTACTGAATAGTGTGTACTGGTATTTTTGTTTTTCATCAGAACTTTGCTAGTGAGGCTTTGATAGGTATTATGATTTATACATAGCTTTTCCCCCCAAAGCCTCATGGGATCACAGGTGTTGCTTTGAAAGGTGATTGGATTATGGGGTTTGTAAATGAGTTTTTGTTAGGGGATAGGGTTTAGTCAGAAGAGACATATCCCTATGAGCATGACCTAAAAGGGTATATTTACCCTCTTGGTTCTTTCTTTGGTACACTTCTTGGCTACCATGAGGTGAGCAGTTATCCCTCCGCCATGACCTTCAGCCAAGCCTTCTTGAGTTGGACCCCAACAACTAAAATAGGGATTAAAATGTAAACCGAGAAAAACCTCTGCTTTAATCTGTAGGTGTCAGGTATTGTGTCCCAGCAATAAAAATATGACATAGACAATAAATAATAGGATGTGTTGAGAGAGCACAGGGATTTTAGCCTATGTTTCTATCTAATCACCTGGGTTTCCTGTGATGTGTTTCACAGAGTCCCTGGCTCAGCATATTTGTCACACTCAGTATACCCAACCTCTCTGCAGCTCCATCTAGCAAAACTGTCCCTCTCCCTTTGTCCTTACTAAATTATATTGTTTTAACTTTCATTACTACACATTTGTGTTACATAATGATTACATTCACTACAGGGAATTGGTACAAGTACGTAACAAATTTAAGTATTTTTTCCCCTTTTCTCTGCCCCTCTTTTATTTTTCCAGCATCAGATTCATTTATTTATAAAACCTTATAAAGTTAGTTAAACCTACAGATTTAAAACTGTATCCTTGTGCTCACATCATAATGGTCATGTAAAATATGTAAGATGGTTGCACTAAGTCAAGGTATGCTTTTGGATACATTGTCTGTGCTGGATTATCCCTTTTTTCCCTCTCTTTTTTCTTTTTATGTATATACACATATAGATAGTTACATATAATACATAGATACGTATGATATAGATATATCTATATAATTTTTTATATAACAGAAAATAGGTGATATATAAGCTTGGATGTTTGAGTTACTTCACTTAACATTACGATCTTCAGGTGCATCCA